ATTTTAACAAGTTTTATGTTTATTGTTTTATTTCTATTACTATTGAACAATTTTTAAATTCTATTTTTTATTTTTTTTTGTAAAATTATTTTTTTTGTTTATGTATTTTGTTATACAAATGGTATGATTCAGACAAGTCTGTATCATACAGATAAATGAACAAAAATATACATTGCATTTAACATACAGTGTGTGATTTTTAAAATTAAACTTAACATAAGGTTTGGTTGGACAACAATCTTACATAATCTGTTAACATTTTATGTACCATCTTTTTGTGCTGCCACCAATACTTTAATACATACACCACCTATCAATCTATCATAAAAATAAATAAATATATATATATATATATATATATATATATATATATATATATATATATATATATATATATATATATATATATATATATATATATGTATGTATATATATATATATATATATATATATATATATATATATATATATATATATATATATATATATATATATATATATATATATATATATATATATATATATATATATGTATGTATATATATATATATATATATATATATATATATATATATATATATATATATATATATATATATATATATTATATATATATATATATATATATATATATATATAATAAGTTGTAAAAACAACTTATTGTAAAACAATGTAATTCTATATGAAAACTTGAATTACTGGTAAATAGGTAAGTTAATAACAGTATTCTTCGAGATTTTCCTTGGGTAAGTTGTTTAATAATTTTCATAAAGTTGAGTTTTTTCGCCTCGTTTTCAATGGAGAGTGAATACAAACGACGTCAATTTTTCTTGCGTCATCGTTGTGCGTAGGTAGGCTTTAATTAACTTCAACTTGCTAAAACTACGCTCACAGCTGGCCACTGCAAATGATATTGTCAGCAATATGCGAAGTGCTATCCACAAACTGGTAAAAGGTCTTTTTTGATTATATTGAATGCTTCTAATGGTCACAGTGTCTTGTTGGCCGCATATTTTAAAGATATATGCACCCTTAATGCAAAGAATAAATATACTTTGCGAAATAATAGCTTTTTTAACGAATCCTTTTGCTAAATAAAGTTTAATCAATTTTGTATAACTGTTATTATGTATATGATAATGACATATAATAAATGTAAACTGAAAAATTAAATTAAAATATATACATATATATATATATATATATATATATATATATATATATATATATATATATATATATATATATATATATATATATATATATATATATATTTATATATATATATATATATATATATATATATATATATATATATATATATATATATATATATATATATATATATATATATATATATATATATATATATATATATATATATATATATATATATATATATATATTAAGCAGCCGTGGCGCAGTGGTTACGCACTTGCCTCAGAAACGTAAGATCCGTGTTTCAAACCCCACCTCTGGGCAATTTTTGTGACATCGGTTGGGAAGGTGGTGTGAACTTCCTATTAAATGCTCTTCCGCGGTGCTCTGTGATAAGACCATAAGGACTTCTTGGGGCACCTTAATCAACTTAATATATATATATATATATATATATATATATATATATATATATATATATATATATATATATATATATATATATATATATATATATATATATATATATATATATATATATATATGTATATACACATATATTTATTTATTTGTATAATATTATAGAGGATATATATAAGCTATTGCTTCTTTCTAAGAAATTAAAGTTATTAGAACAATAGATAGAACATATCTCATAACAAGTCCTAAGGTAGAAAATGCAGAATTGTATCAAAACAAAAAAAGATATTTTTCTGTGAACTGCCAGATAATTAAAGATCCTTCAAAAGAAATTGTGTCTGCTTGTATTTAATGAGTTAGATATGTTCAAGGATCACGAATTTGTACCAACTCAGTCATTAAACAGGTTTTAGAAGCTCATTAGTATATCTATGTTATAGGAGACAACGTCCTATATTATCAGGACAAGTATGACAGTGGAATGTTGCTTTGGAATTTTAAAAAAGGATTTTTTTTCCAATATCTCTTTACAGATAAAACAATATCTCTTTACAGGTTATTGAAATATTTATTAATTCAATAACTGTAAATATTGGGCGTTAAGGTTAAAATATTTAAGAACCTGAAACTAAGTACAACTCCATACGATAAGTGTCCAACATTTTCAGTCATTGACTTTAATGGATACTTATGGTTGTGTACTTACACAAAATCCTTGGGTCCCAAGAAAAAGTTTATTTTTACTTTTCAACCCATTTAAAAAATGCTGTTTTTATAGAGTTTTTTGATTTATTTTTCAGATTTGAGAAGGATACCACTGCATACCAAGCTAACAGCGGAACAATCAAGAATCTCTACAGCGGAGGCTGTATTCTGGTATAACAACTAGTCTTACAAAAATGGAGTAAACCCAATCGATGAACTACAAAACTGGGAACAAAAAGTTGATATGTCAATAAAGACTACTAAAAAAAAATCTTCCGCGATTCCTCCAAAGCCGCGGCGCCTGGGTTAGCTTGTCCTGGTTGTCCTTCTCTCCTAGGGACGCCCTGTTATACTTTTATTAAATTAAAATACCATGTAAAAATCAAAAAACATAAAATTTTTAAGTAGCGTAGGCCAATCGACTGGTTTTTCTATTTAATTCTGTATTGCAACAAGCTCAGTAAAAAGACATATAGAAATACTGTACAGACGCTAAAAAAAACATTTAAATATACTTTTATGTCTAGCGTTTTAATAGATTTCATGGTCTTCTAGCGCCCCTAATATCTTAACGCCCAGGGCACCTATGCCCCTTCCTCTCGGCGGCCTTATATGTATATATATATATATATATATATATATATATATATATATATATATATATATATATATATATATATATATATATATATATATATATATATATATATATATATATATATATATATATATATATATATATATAAGCTTTCCTTATTATATAGTGTTGCGTTTTTAAGTTTTTGTTGTTTTATATTTACGGTAAAGACTAAGAGGCTTGGTGATAACAAATTATGTCTTCTTCTTGCCTCTGCTATTTGTATTTTTACGACTTGAATAAATTTATGTGGCAATATATATATATATATATATATATATATATATTGCCACATAAATTTATTCAAGTCGTAAAAATACAAATAGCAGAGGCAAGAAGAAGACATAATTTGTTATCACCAAGCCTCTTAGTCTTTACCGTAAATATAAAACAACAAAAACTTAAAAACGCAACACTATATAATAAGGAAAGCTTCAGAATTATGCAAATACGCATAATTCTGAAGCTTTCCTATTATACCAGCATTGAAATATCTGAATAATTCTTATAAATCATAATTTTTTAAGAAATTAAAGAAATAAAAAAGAATTGAAACAATAACAAGTGGTACAATCCTATATATCGTCACCTCAAAGCATTTTAATTCTTTTTTTAATAGCTAAACAAACAATAGACTTTAAAACGCTTCTCAAAACTTTAATGTTTTCAATTTAGCAGACGTCTTAAAATATAACAAATAAAAAAACTTTTTATAAAACCACGTTTTTGTAATGAACTAAAAAGTAGAAAATAATTTTCTCTTGTGGCTATAGAAATTTTTGAAAATTAATTGAGTCTATAGTAAGTGACATGAAAACTTTTGATTATGAACTCTTAATAATTACGATAATATTTGTAAAATTTTAAACGAAAACGTGGTGTGCATCTTGTCACTTTAAATGATCATCATCGTCCTTAATTACTTTAACTATTGCTTCCTTCTTCCTGTTCTTTTTTTTCGTTAAATGCGCACCACGTTTTTCGTTTAAAATTTTAAAAATATTATCGTAATTATTAAGAGTTCATAATCAAAAGTTTTCATGTCACTTACTATCGACTCAATTAATTTTCAAAAATTTCTATAGCCACAAGAGAAAATTATTTTCTACTTTTTAGTTCATTACAAAAACGTGGTTTTATAAAAAGTTTTTTTATTTGTTATATTATTTTATTATTTTTTATATTTTGTAAACAACTGATTTTGTTTTTATGCTGCGGTCCATTTAAAATCACAGCGACAGTTAAGTTTGGTTTTTTTGTTCGAAAATTTTTTATTTAAAACGACGCGTCAAATTGCGGCGACGCCTTCAAAAGTTTCGCCATAACAAATTTTGTTTTGCTGAAATTGTTCAAAAAACTCGGCAAATCATGGTAAAAGTAGTATAATATTGCATTGTCATCGGGTTCTGAGCTATAGTAAAAGTTTCAGAGCTCTAGCTAATCGAAAAGTGGGTTAAAATTGAGTTGCAAAAATCCACCCGGACAAACAAACAAACAAGAAAGCGAGCTAATAAAAACGTGGTAAAAAAAACAATTAACTTAAAAAAACTTTTAACAACCATAAACCTTGAAAATAATACTTTCTTTAGTGATTTTTAATCAATAATTTAAGAAAACGTCATAACAGTTGAAGCTTTTTAAATTTTTACTGTAAAGTCAAAAATTATTTTCAATAAATTTTGTTGATTTTACTGTGTTTTTTTTAAAAAAAAACAACCTGTTTTGTTTAAGAAATCAAAGTGTTCCAATTTAACCAGTTACCTTGATTGGAACAAAAAGCTATCTTTCCAAGAACAAGTGTTTTTTTCCAATAACAGTGCAATCAATTAGGTCAAATTATGGTTAAAAGTACGCACCAAATTATGGTTAAAAGCTCCTCCAAATGATGCCTTTAGTTACTTATGGTCGGAAGTCGATGGACAAAGAGGCAGTAATGAAATAGGAAGCTGTCTTCTACATTACCTCAGAGATCTTCCAGAACATATAAAGAAGTGTTTTTGTTTTCCGATACATGCAGCAAACAAAACAGGAACCAGCATGTCACATTAATCTTGCAGTAACAAATAATGCTCATTTGGACGTTGTAGAAGAAAAATTTCTTGATAGATTGCTCACATAAAAGGAATGTGATTCCATGCAATCTGCCATCGAGTCGGCAAAGAAAAATACGTCACTGTTTTCGTTATCTGGGTGTAAGTCAATAATTGAAACTGCAAGGCGTAGAAGACCATATAAAGAAAGATAATTAAATAACAGTGAATTTGAGGGTTGCAAAAAATTAAGAGGCATGCTTATGAAGAACAGAACCCGTGATGAAAAAGGTGACACAGTGAATTGGCTAAAAATAACAGTGCTGAGATAGTAAAAAGCTAACATCAGTTACATTCAGTACAAGTAC